ACACGCACCCCAATGTTTGTAGCAGCACTATCAACAATAGCCAAAGTATGGAAAAAGCCCAAATGTCCATCAATGGATGAATGGATAAAGAAGATATGGTATATATATACAACGGCAATCAAAAAGAATGAAATCTTGCTACTTGCAACTATGTGGATGGAACTAGAGGGTATTATGCTAAGCGAAGTCAGTCAGAGAAAGACAAAAATCATATGACTTCATTCACAGGAGGACTTTAAGACAGAACAGATCAACACAAGGGAAGGGAAGCAAAAAAGCATATAGAAACAGGGAGGGGGACAAAACATAAGAGACTCTTAAATATGGAGAACAGAGGGTTACTGGAGGGGTTGTGGGAGGGGGGATAGGCTAAATGGGTAAGGGGCATTAAGAAATCTTCTCCTGAAGTCATTGTTGCACTATATGCTAATTTGGATGTAAATTTAAAAAATGAAATTAGAAAAAAATAAAATACATTTGGAAATAACCCCCCTCCATTTTGTTTAAATGAAACCTTACCAACCCATCCCTGCTGAGCCAGTTCTGACTGTTAAGATCATTTCTTTGACCTGGTAGATTTTCTTAAATATTACCCTCCATTAAGTCACATAGTTATTTTTTTTTTTAACACTTACCTTTATAAAAGCATAGCCAGTACCATTATCTGTAATGGTGAGACCAAGTGAATCCTCAGATTTATGTATATTTACTTCCTTTTTTATCCCTTTCACATGGGCAAATATGAAATCTTCAAGACCTATCTGTGATCCTAAGAGTCTTTCCATATCAACTTTAGGTGTGTTTAACGTGCAGTATAAGATCTGTAAGAAAGAAAGAAAGAGTTCAGTTTCCATCAGGAAAACATTCTGGTTATTAGGGTATTTGAGTGAAATAGTCGATTTATGACAGAAGATACATCATTAACATTATGGTCATTATCTCATTAAATCCTCACAATGACTTTACAAATACTTATCCCCTCCAAATTACAGATGAGGAATTTGAGGTTTAGTGAAAGAAAGTAATTGGCCTAAGGTCACAAAGCCAATATTTGTCAAGAGCAAGATTCTGAGTTTACATCTCACCAACTTCCAAGTGATTGAAAAGATCTCCACTACCTGCCATTTACAATGCTAAAATCAAAAGTTGTCTTCTCAAAGGCAAGGCCATGACATGTATGCCACAATGAAATTATAGGCAAGTCTATTTTTGAAAACTGCTAAGTTTTTTAAGTGAGGAAATTTATCTTGCATTAGAATGCTTGAGAAAATTAATGAATGAGGTGCAAAAATAAAGAGGTCTAAAACAGATCTTACAGACTCACTAATCCAATCCCTTAATTTTCTTGGGTATGTAAAACAAAAACATTTCAGTATAGCAGTTTTATTCCAAAATAGTTAAGTTTTTTTTAATTTTTATTATCAATTTTGCCACCGATGTTGCCAACACTTCCTCGGACCCTGAGCCTTGCTTCAGTCCTCACTTTCTACCCTCTCCCTGGATCCCCAGGTTTCATACCATTCTTGACTCCCACTGGAAGGTAAGCCTTCTCACATCCATAAGCCTCATGAAGTTCAGGAATGGCACAACTACTTATTAAATGGATCTTTAAGGCACATCAGAATGTGTCTGAACTGGAAGCACTCTCTGTTCTACAACTAAAAGATCCAGCATGGTCAGCAAGATTCTGACCAATTTCGGATGTATATGAAAGGAGCTACTGAGGAGGACAAGAGGCAACTGGATAGAAAAGAAAAAAGGCTTACAAAGAAACATGTGCTGTCCTGCCCTTTCCCCTTTTCCTCTGTGGGAAGCTGTGCTAACTGGTGGACCTTTGATTTAACCCTTTGTGTTCCTGGGCAGGGCAGAATATATTTAGTTCTGCAATTAGTAAGTTTTTGTGAAATACTCTAGTATAAGAACTGTATTATTCACAGGGAAAAAGAAAGTCCTTTAAGAAAGGTTCCTATTCTTTATTCTGTGAAATCAAAGGTATAATTAGTCCACTGACAAAAATCAGTAATAGTGTGGGTAGAGGGACAAGGTAACATGCACAGTGAACAGTTTTCCTGATTTTCTTTCTCAAAACGATGGGAAGTAAAGAAACAGTTTTGTTATTACTGGTTTTAACAGTGAATCTGCTAATGGTGTTCATAGTGGATCCCAACACCATTAACATAAAAACTTACCAGTTAGAAAACATTAAAACAGAATGATGATGTAATAGGGCAGGAGAAAAGCCCCAAAAAGGAAATCCCACACGAAGTGGACTTCTAGTTACTAAGCTGCTTCCTTTCTTTCAATTTTTCACATTTCCCTGCAGAGCAAATATTAGATTTCCTGTAGGTATGACCCTTTTTCATTGTGCTTCCTCCCCTACAGAACAATGTTACCTCCCAGGCAGCCAAAAGTTTTCAGGCAAGGCAAGACATGGGTGCCTTCCTCTTCCTCTCTTCACATAACACTCAGATCTCAAGTATCTATACATCTTAGGTGCTTTGGAGGAAAATGACTCACATCCCCTATTCTAGGCATAAGATTTAAACTAGTATAAGTGGTATTTTAGGAGTAGGCATGTGGCCCAATCGCGGCCAACAAGACATGGAAGAAGATGTCCAAGGATCTTCTGGAGAATATTTTTTTACTCTTAAGAAACATACAGTAAAAGACCATCCTTTCCTTGCCCTGGATGCTGCCTTATCTGTAGGTGGTCTGGGAACTTCCACCACCATCTTACTACTGAGGAAGAAACCAGTGCCAAGAAAGGCAAAGCAAAGAGATGGAATAAACCCAGATCCCTGACACAGGAGAGTTGCTCTGTTCACCAACTCTGGAGCTCACTCTACCCCTTTTATGCAACTGTTTTAGCCAATTTTAGCAAGTAGTTGCATATTATTGCAGTTGAAAACTTATCAGATACACAGTCTTATCCCAAAATATTTAGTTACACAAACCAATAATTTAACCAACCCATTTTAGATTTTGTTGTTTTCAAATAAAAAGATTCCAGATATAAAAATACAAAAGATAGGAATTCTATTTCTTCCATTTAAAAGTTCTTTCTAGGGGTGCCTGCGTGGCTCAGTCAGTTGAGAGTCCAACTCTTGATTTCTGCTCAGGTCATGATCCTAGGGTTGTGAGCTCAAGCCCTGAGTTAGGCTCCACACTAAGCATGGAACCTGCTTGTGATTCTCTTTCCCTCTGTCCCTCCCCTTCTCACTCTCTCTAAAATAAAACATAAGCAAAAGTTCTCTCTACTTTCTAGCTCAATTTATCCTTAAACTCAGTCAGGAAGCTGGTGAATTATGTTTAATATACTGAGATACTATGCATCCTTATCCAAATTTCACATCCTATCTCTATCAAAAATTTCAGGCACAGGGTACCTGGGTGGCTCAGTCAGTTGAGTGTCCAACTCTTCAGCTCAGGTCATGATCTCAGTTGGTGGGATTGAGCCCCATGTTGGGCTGTGCGCTGACAGCACAGTGCCTGCTTGGAATTCTCTCTCCCCCTCTCTCTCTCTGCCCCTTCCCGGCTTGTGCTCATGCTCACTCTTGTTCTCTCAATAAACATTTAAAAAGAAGAAATTTCAGGCATAGAAAAAGTGGTTCCCCCTTACTTCCAATATCAGCAAAATAAATCCCCAAGAGGAAATATTTCATCCTTAAAATGGTTGTTAGGAAAAAAAAAAACAAAAAAACAGATTAAGAGGTAAGAGATTTGGGGTGCCTGGCATGCAACTCTTGATCTCCATGTCCTGAGTTCAAGCCCCACACTGGGCATAGGGATTATTCTTAAAAATAAACTTATGGGGCACCTGGGTGGCTCAGTTGAGCATCCAATTTCAGCTCAGGTCATGATCCCACTGTTTTGTCAGTTCGAGGCTCATGTCAGGCTCTGTACTGACAGCTCAGAGCCTGGAGCCAGCTTCCAATTCTGTGTCTCCTCCTCTCTATGCCCCTCCCCCGGCTCACACATGGTCTCTCAAAAATAAACATTAAAAAAACAAAAAAAGGGTAAGAGACTTGAATCTAGTCCCACTTCCATACTCTCAGTGAGCTCAGTCAAATCATTTGACCTCCCTGGTTCTCGTGTACGTCATGACATTAGTAAAGTTGGTCTACTGACACACTTGTTGCAAAAACTGAGACACTACATATATGAGTACTTCTTAAACGAAAAAGCTCTTTATAGAGGTTATTATTCCTGGAATGTAAGGGTTTCTTGAACAGTGATGTTTCACCCATGCTTGAAAGCTGCTTAGTTTTCCTGAAGAGATCAGATTTTGTTTCTTTTTAATGTCATCAACAGATGGATTCCTTTTCTCCCATAAATTACATTATCTTTCAACTTTGTTGTTAAAGAATAACTCATGGAGGGGCACCTGGGTGGCTCAGTCAGTTAAGTGTCTGACCTTGGCGCAGGTCATGACCTCGACCTTGTGGTTCTGGAGTTCAAGTCCCACATTGGGCTCTGTGCTGACCGCTCAGGGCCTGGAGCCTGCTTTCTTCTCTTGCTCTCTCTTGCTCTGCCCCTCCCCCCACTCATGCTGTTTTTCTCTCAAAAACAAATATTTAAATAAATAAATAAATAAATAAATAAATAAATAAATAAATAAGAGGGGGCACGAGGGTAGCCCGGTTGGTTAAGCATCCAACTTCAGCTCAGGTCATGATCTCACAGTTCATGGGTTTGAGCCCGCATTGGGCTCTGTGATGACATCTTGGAGCCTGGAGCGTGCTTCAAATTGTGTGTGTGTGTGTGTGTGTGTGTGTGTGTGTGTGTCTGCGTGTGTGTGTGTGTGTCTGCCCCTCCCTTGCTTGTGTGCTCTCAAAAATAAATAACTCATGGACAGTATTCTTACCATGCACTGTATTTGAATTGCTATCTTCTGGTTATCATGTGGTTATGATTATTCACCCTTAAAACTCACTCAATATAGCCAAGATGATAAGTCTGAATGACTATAGAGTCACTAATACAGATTAATATTGCCTTTTCTCTCCATTATATACTTTATAATGTCCCTTGTTAATAAGTAGCTTGTCACTGGTGTTTCAAAAAATATTCTGGCTCACAAACAGGTTACAAATTTCTCCAAAAACACATCAAGTGCATTTTTTTTTTTTTTTTTTAAATCAAGGAAGTTCATTTCCAACTTTCTTTTGTTTAATACTTTCCTTAAACAGGAACTCAGTTGGTCAAACATTCCACATGTTCCAAAGTTCTCTGGAAGAAATTATAGGCTTGTGCAGCTGCCATTAGATTATTTGTGAATGTGATTTTAAATACAAGCAACTGGAATCTTTACCTCTTGAGGTTTTCTAAAATACCAGTATTACTATTTTAATACTACTTTCCTACATCTCAATCTACCAAAAATCTAACTTTCTACAGGTTTTCTAGAAATATCCATGTTATTACAGAAAATAAAAAGCACATAATGACAAATCTAGTAACTAAACCACGCTTTTTGTTGTTGTTGTTTCCTTAAGTAATCTCTACAGTAAACATAGAGCTTGAACTCCTAACTCTGAGATCAAGATTAGCATGCTCTACGAACCAGGCCAAGCCAGGCACCCCAACTAAACCATACTTCCATCAGACTTCATCTTTACACGTAAGAACACTGCTTGGATTGTTTCCTTTGTTAATGACTATGGTTTATTCTCTGGGCTGTTCTCATTATCTAAGTCTCAGACTTTTTCCTCAATAAAAGATTATTTTACCTCTATCTGATTAACTGCCCTTAAAATAGCAGGAATTAGGGGTACCTGGGTAGCTCAGTAAGTTAGGCGTCTAACTTTGGCTCAGGTCATGA